GTTTGTGTCCAGCTATCATTGGTACTTTAATGGCGAAGAAACTTATGTCAACAATGTTTATATATAAGTAACCTGGTGTTTTTATTTATATATATACATTGTTTGAGGTATTGTGATGTGGTATGTTGGGTAATGTGGTTATCTTTGGTATGTGGTTGGTATTTGTGTTTTTATTTTGGTTATAGTTGAGTCATGTTTATATAGTCAAATTATTACCCTCATTACGTACCCTTAAAGACCATAGTTGTGTTGAAATGCTAGAATAACATCGTCAAAAGTCTTATTTGTTTTAAATTGCCCATTATGCTGGAATTTATCATCAAACTTTTATAATTATGGCTGATTTAGTTTTTCATGATGAGGTGATTATGTGGTAGTGATTTTTAATGGGGTACCACAGGGAGGTAATTTGGTCCTCTTCAGATACTGCTATTACGTGTAAATAACTCCCTACCTTTTCTGTAATAAGGAACTGGAAATGTGTGTGTGTGTGTGTGTGTGTGTGTGTGTGTGTGTGTGTGTGTGTGTGTGTGTGTGTGTGTGTGTGTGTGTGTGTGTGAAATAAATGAAAAGAAAAAAACAGACGAGTTGCAATTTTCATCGACATTGATTATGCAATTGAGAACTAATATATTTTCTACTTAACAAGAAAAACTATGATTACTAATTACACATAACATTGCAAAAGTCTCTTAATTAGAGTTAAGTATAGCCATTAGACATTGTTAATTAGCATATGTGTTAAATTAGTCTTTTGTTAAGTTCAACGTTAATATACAGTCTAACTATCCTTAACCACTTAATGCTGGCAGAACACTGGCGAACGTTAGATTGGCCATAGCATACTGGTATCATGACAGGGTGGAGGAATACGCCAGGCGTTGTTGGATGCTCGTGCTGGCGATGTTTTTAGGGTACTGATATATATTTGTGCTGTTTGTATACATTAGATAAGAAAATATAATATAATTCACTAAGTTATAAAATCAAACTCTTAACTATCGTATTAGTAAAAACTTTGTATATAAAAAATCTGCTGCTATTATTTTTATTATTGTTATTATTACTGTTGCTATTTTTATTTTTATTTTATATTTTTAATGTTACTGTAACTAGTGACTGTATTATAAAGGTGTTGTGTTAATCTCGACATGCTACAAGTAGACAATTACAGGTATACAGTTAGAAGGCAAACAATTACTGGTATACAGTTAAAAGTAGACAAATACACCTACAGGTAGACAATTACAGGTAGACAATTACAGGTAGATAATTACAGATATACAGTTACAGGTAGACAGTTACAGGTAGACAGTTACAGGTAAATAATTACAGATATACAGTTACAGGTAGACAGTTACAGGTAGACAGTTACAGGTAGATAATTAAAAGTATACAGTTACAGGTAGACAGTTACAGGTAGATAGTTACAGGTATTCATTTGCAGGTAGACAATTACAGGTATACAGTTATAGGTAGACAGTTACAGGTAGACAATTACAGGTAGACAATTACAGGTACACAATTACAGGTACAGTTCCGTTCATAAATTCGTGGTACACTGGCGGTGAAGGGTACATAGCCTGTTGTACCCTTCCTGGACGACAGGTCACTGCGCCTAACCTCCCACCAACACACACAGTGGAACTGGCAACGGAGCAGTGTGATTCGAACTAATACTCATCAAAAGGAGATGGGAAGGATATTAATGTGAATATCCTGCTGACGAGAGAAGAAAACTGTAGTGAAAGGAGAATCGATGCGAATATCAGAATACAATAGGGAAATTGGTTTCGAATAAACACCATAAGAAGTAGGTGAACAGAACTCATAAGGCGATTGTTGTTATTAATAGTTTATAGCTTAATGTATTCCTAATATAGTTTATCCTGACCTTAAATTAATATAACCGAACCCTACACACACACACACACACACACACACACACGGGAAAGCAAGACTCACACAGCCTAAGGGATGAGTCACTGAACTGACGTGTTTTTGTAAGATTTAATGTACACTGTCGCTGATGACGAATGATTAGTGTTGTAAATACCAATTAACACACACACACACACACACACACACACACACACACACACACACACACACACACACACACACACACACACACACACACACACACATACACACACACACATACACACACACAGATGTACGTTTTAACCCTGACATTGCGGGTATACCTGTAACCAGTTAATTAAGGTTAGTTGACATAGTCGTCCTACCTAACGCTTTCCTCTCACCTGAACTTCACCTGAACTTTAATCACCTTGTGTCCACTTTTGGTCTGGTTTAAAGGCAGTTTTTTTTAGGTGTTGGATTAAAAAAAAGTCTGATGGGTACAAAGTGTGTGTGTGTGTGTGTGTGTGTGTGTGTGTGTGTGTGTGTGTGTGTGTGAGAGAGAGAGAGAAAGAGAGAGAGAAAGATTCTGTACTACCATAATGTACTACCATGTGTACTACCATAATATACTTCCATAATGTACTACCATAATGTACTACCATAATATACTTCCATAATGTACTACCATAATGTACTACCATAATGTACTACCATGTGTACTACCATAATATACTACCATAATGTACTACCATAATGTATTACCATAATGTACTACCATGTGTACTACCATAATATACTACCATAATGTACTACCATAATGTATTACCATAATGTACTACCATGTGTACTACCATAATATACTTCCATAATGTACTACCATAATGTACTACCATAATATACTTCCATAATGTACTACCATAATGTACTACCATAATGTACTACCATGTGTACTACCATAATATACTACCATAATGTACTACCATAATGTATTACCATAATGTACTACCATGTGTACTACCATAATATACTACCATAATGTACTACCATAATGTATTACCATAATGTACTACCATGTGTACTACCATAATATACTTCCATAATGTACTACCATAATGTACTACCATAATATACCATAATGTACTACCATAATGTACTACCATAATGTACTACCATGTGTACTACCATAATATACTACCATAATGTACTACCATAATGTACCACCATAATGTACTACCATAATGTACCATGTACCATAATATACCACCATAATGTACTACCATAATGTACTACCATAATATACTACCATGAGTACTACCATAATATACTACCATAATGTACTACCATAATGTACTACCATAATGTACTACCATAATGTACTACCATAATGTACTACCATGAGTACTACCATAATGTACTACCATAATGTACTACCATGAGTACTACCATGTATACTACCATAATATACTACCATGTGTACTACCATAATGTACTACCATGTGTACTACCATAATATACTACCATAATGTACTACCATAATGTACTACCATAATGTACTACCATAATGTACTACCATGAGTACTACCATGTATACTACCATGTATACTACCATAATATACTACCATGTGTACTACCATAATGTACTACCATGTGTACTACCATAATATACTACCATAATGTACTACCATAATGTACTACCATAATGTACTACCATAATGTACTACCATGAGTACTACCATGTATACTACCATAATATACTACCATGTATACTACCATAATATACTACCATGTGTACTACCATAATATACTACCATGTGTACTACCATAATGTACTACCATAATGTACTATCATAATGTACTACCATGTGTACTACGAACATAAGACACTAAGAGAATGTAACTTACTGTCGTGTCCCCAATTCCTCCTTTAGACGTGTACACCTGACTGAGTGTACATACATGTGTGTACTATCATTGTTCAACCACTGTGTACTACCACTAGTTACAACCACTATCTACTACAATACTACTACATTAAGATGGTATGAGAATTTATATATATTATGGTAGAAGCATAGAGTGTACACAGGTATAAAATGTACTTAACTACAGCATGTGTACTGTACTGTACTAAATATATCTTACTACACTACATTCAAACACAACTTTAATACATAACTCATACAACGTACATAAAATCTTGTGTACTAATCGATATGTACAGTGTATGTATTTGTAATGTCATTCTGTACTCCCTGTGTGTACTAATGCATTATTATGATACGTGTGTGTGTGTGTGTGTGTGTGTGTGTGTGTGTGTGTGTGCTGTGTAGATTGACGACTTGATTGGACCAGAACAATTAGACCAGAGTAGACCAAACTATCAGACCAGGTGAGACGAGACTATCAAACCAGGTTAGACCAGACTAGTAAACCAAATTGGGTTAAACCAGGAGTAGAATGGGGAAACCAGGTCAGCCAGATTGGGTCGAGGTGTCTGGTCGAGAGAGGTAAATTGGCGGGACCTGGTTCGACCAAGACCGGTATCTGGTTAAGACTTGTTATTAAACCCGAGATTTTGATTTCCATAAATGATGAACCGATGATGAAGGGCAGTGGACACAGAGAGAGAGAGAGAAAAAAAAGAAGATGGAGAAAGAGCTTGATTTTTTGTGTGTAATGTGTGAGAGGAGGGGAGGAGGAGGGAGAGGATGGGAGGGAAGGAACGAAGAAGGAAAGGAAATAAGGAGGGAGGAAGCGTTGGAGAGAAAGAAGAGGTCTTGTGGAGGGGGGGGGAGGGAGGGGGGATGGCTGTGTTTGAAGGAAAGGAAGGAGGAGTGGGACATTCCTTGTGTGTGTGTGTGTGTGTGTGTGTGTGTGTGTGTGTGTGTGTATATATAAGGCAATACATATGTTTTTGCTTGTATATCCGAATGTGTATATATTTGTATAGGAATGAGAATGCAGGCTATTTGTGTATACATGTATAAGTAGATAGGTAAGTATACATACCCGTCTGTATATCTACGTGTATATTTGTGTGCCTATGTATACATCAACATACAGGAGGAGAAAAGTAGGCAAGTATCTACCTTCACCTTGGCTTAGTAAGGACCAATGTGAGAGGGTGGAGACGGTGGGTATATAACACAGGCGTCCACACCCTAACACCACACTCGCTTCCTTGTCAACACCCAACCATGATCACGGTAAGTTATTTTGGGTGTCTTAGAAGGTCTACACATGTATCCCCTCCCCCTCCCTCCTCTCCCTGCCCCCCCACCCCACCCTCCCTCCCCTGTGTGTAGTTTGTGTTTCAGGTTGTTTATATTTTAATTTGATTTATTTTTTTTTAGTTTTGTTTGTAATGTTTTTTATTTTTATTAAGTGTAAAAGTTAGTTGGATTTTTTGATGATTATTAGATACCCGAACTTATTTTTTTTTTTAGTTGATAATTAACTATACTCTGATGCTAAGCTAAACCTAACCTAACCCTCAAGGTTGCGTTAGGGTGTATAATCTTGAGGTGAAATAAGCTAGAGTGTCCAATATGTGACATTTCTATGGTTCTTGCTATTCTATTCATGTCATCTTTATGTCTTTCTCTCCTTTCTCCTCTCTTCTTTCTCCTGTCTTCTCTATTTTCTCTCCTGTTTTCTCTCTTTTCTCTCGTCTCTTATTTCAAGTTATTATTAATATATTTTATAATGAATTAGTTTATTATTTTGTCTCTGTGCGTCAAGTGTCTTTCATCATGCAGGAAACATTAAGTGATTATCTGTCAACTGTTGTTAAAGTATTAGCACTAAGCCATGTTGTTCACTCGCATCTCAGCTATAGGTGTTTATGGCTTGTTAGTGGTGGAGACTTCAGTTTACTTCAGGTATATTATTCGTAACCTAAGAATGTAGTACTCGTTTGGTTAGGTGAGAGAGAACTTTACTCCTGTAGTTTGGTCCTGAAGGAGTAGCGTTGTCTTTGGTATCACCTGTAAGAATAACCCTTTTTAGGGCTCCGATCCACTAAGGTATTTTATTCTGGCCGAAGGGTTAAATATTTAGGTATTTTTAATCGAAAATACTGAAAATATTTACAGAAGTTCAGCACAAATGTTTGCCATTATGCTAAGACCTCCAGCTTCCTTTTTCAGGTGCTGGTAGTGTTTGCTGTGGGGACGGTCGTCAGCGGCCGACCTCAGCCTGGCAGAGCTCTTACAGGTTTCCGCGCTGCCCAATACCAACTTTTTCGCCAGAGATCACAAAATATTGCATTTCCTTCGCCATTCACTGCTCCTGCTGGTTTAGGAGCTGGAGCAAGTCAGGTTCCCTTCCCGCCAAAAGGACAGCCTGGTGTTCCTCCGCCATTCTCTGCTCCTGCTGGTTTAGGAGCTGGAGCAAGTCAGGTTCCCTTCCCGCCAAAAGGACAGCCTGGTGTTCCTCCGCCATTCTCTGCTCCTGCTGGTTTAGGAGCTGGAGCTAGTCAGGTTCCCTTCCCGCCAAAAGGACAGCCTGGTGTTCCTCCGCCATTCTCTGCTCCTGCTGGTTTAGGAGCTGGAGCTAGTCAGGTTCCCTTCCCGCCAAAAGGACAGCCTGGTGTTCCTCCGCCATTCTCTGCTCCTGGTGGTTTAGGAGCTGGAGCTAGTCAGGTTCCCTTCCCGCCAAAAGGACAGCCTGGTGTTCCTCCGCCATTCTCTGCTCCTGCTGGTTTAGGAGCTGGAGCAAGTCAGGTTCCCTTCCCGCCAAAAGTACAGCCTGATGTTCCTCCGCCATTCACTGCTCCTGCTGGTTTCGGCCCTGCTGAAAGCCAACGACCATTCCTAGACCCACCAAGGCGACCACCAGCACCTCCACCCGTGCCCTCAGGAGACGTGATTCCCATCCTGGTTGACGAGCGCGATGGACCTCACCCAGATGGTTCATACAGCTTCAACTTCGAGACTGGTAACGGCATCAGTCGCTACGAGCATGGCGCCCCCCAGGGGGAGACTGGCGCCGTGGTGTCTCAGGGAGGATGGTCGTGAGTATACCAAATTCTCCGTGTTCATGTTATTTCCAAAAATTCACAATAACGTGAAAACTAACTTTCAAATTCGATTCACATGAAAGACAGAAGCTTATTAAAACTGCTCCTGCATTGCCCAGGTGACAATCATCTTCAGGTGTGAGCAGCAGACTTATTTTGTTTGACTCAGCTGAGGGGAATCAAAGTTGGATCTGTATGGCTGTTATAAAAGTTTGTACCTTTTAGTGTAGCTTTGATTGTTAGATGTTGGTGTGTCTGTCTTTCATATTCAGTTGAGTGTAAGATCTTACAGGTTTCCTTAACGATCACCTCTCTCTCTCTCTCTCTCTCTCTCTCTCTCTCTCTCTCTCTTTATGATGTAAATATTTGGTTGGCTTTGTTTATTGTGGTCTGTCTCTCACCTTGGGTCACAGTTTGAGCCTCCATAGTTATCTTATAATTTAGTTCAAATAACTCACTATCGGTCTGGTGAGTTATACATCATTCATTCTCCACAGATTCACCTTCCCTGACGGCACCCCAGCAGTCTTCAACTTCGTGGCCGACGCTGCAGGTTACCAGGTACAGTCTGACCTGCTGCCCACGCCCCATCCTCTCCCCGCCCACGCCATTGCCCAGATCGAATTCGCCGAACAAGAAAGAGCCCGGGCAGGTCTCGCCGGGGACAAAACATACAATATCTAAGGATCCTTCATCTCCTTCAACCACCAAACATATCCTGGTATAAGTCCCAAGGATACTCAAGAAATCTTAATACTCCCACCATAATAAAACGCCACTGTATGCAATAGACGGGCGAACAGAAATGCCTGTCGTAGCTTCATTGATACTGCAAGGTGGTGGGGAAAACAACGCCAGACCCTGTTTACTGTTACGACTACCGCTGCTTCTTATACTGGCTGACGACAACTTAGTAACCTGAAGCTTACCATCGTTTTTGTTGCTTCTTATCATACTGGCTGACGACAGCTTAGTAACTTGAAGCTTAACATCGTTTTCGTTTGTCTTATATTAACAAGCTGTTGTGTTTCACTTTTATTGTTATTGTTGCCATATGACTCAAATAAAGACACCCATGAAATATACTTAATTGTATTTCTTTTTTTTTGTTCCTTTATTGTGAGGAAGTGTAGGATGGTGGGGTGTAGGATGGTGAGGGTGTAGGATGGTGGGGTGTAGGATGGTGGGGTGTAGGAGGATGGTGAGGGTGTGGGATGGTGGGGTGTGGGATGGTGGGGTGTAGGATGGTGGGGTGTGGGATGGTGGGGAAGGTAGATGGTGGGGTGGGATGGTGGGGTGTGGGATGGTGGTGTAGGATGGTGGGGTGTAGGATGGTGAGGTGTGGGATGGTGGGGTGTGGGATGGGGTGTGGGATGGTGGGGGGTGTAGGATGGTGAGGGTGTGGATGGTGGGGTGTGGGATGGTGGGGTGTAGGATGGTGGTGAGGGGTGTGGGATGGTGAGGTGTGGGATGGGTGGGGTGTGGGATGGTGTGGGTGTGGGATGGTGGGGTGTGGGATGGTGGGGTGTGGGATGGTGGGGTGTGGGGTGGGGGGTGTGGGATGGGTGAGTGGGATGGTGAGGTGTAGGATGGTGGGGTGTGGGATGGTGGGGTGTAGGATGGTGGGGTGTGGGATGGTGGGGTGTGGGATGGTGGGGTGTAGGATGGTGGGTGTAGGATGGTGGGGTGTGGGATGGTGAGGGTGTGGGATGGTGGGGTGTGGGATGGTGGGGTGTGGGATGGTGGGAGGTGTAGGATGGTGGGGTGTGGGATGGTGAGGTGTGGGATGGTGGGGTGTGGGATGGGGGTGGATGGTGTGGGATGGTGGGGTGTAGGATGGTGGGGTGCAGGCTGGTGAGGGTGTAGGATGGTGGGGTGTAGGATGGTGGGTTGCAGGATGATGAGGGTGTAGGATGGTGGGTTGCAGGATGGTGGGTTGCAGGATGGTGAGGGTGTAGGATGGTGGGGTGTAGGAATGCGGGGTATACTCATATAATAATCCCATATACTAATTATCCTTGACAACATTTAACTTTTTATCGTATTAATTCCAGACGATATTTAGTTTCGTGTTTTTATGATATTTAAATAATTCTCCAGGTGATACTTAAGGATAATGACCCCAATTATCGTGTAATTATCGTGAAATGTTTATACAACTCTTCAAATTACCACATCTGTTTTGGCCACTAATTTCCTCCTTTTATTAAATACTTGGATGTTGATTTTGTTAGATACGAGAGTAAGAGGGACAGACAGACAGACAGAAACCGACAGACAGACAGATAGACAGACTCACCTGGATCATCTCTATGTACTTGGAGATCGTTTACCTTCTAAAATAAATTAAGGTGTGCGGTGGCCGAGTGAACACAGCTCTCACCTACTGTCTGAAAAGGAGGTTGGCTCTCTCTCTCTCTCTCTCTGATCCTCCCCTAACCTAACCTAACCTAACCTAACCTAACCTAACCTTGCAGATGGGGATATGAAGGGAGTCTAGTGCAGTACTGAAGGCTTAATATACAGTGTGTGTGTGTGTGTGTGTGTGTGTGTGTGTGTGTGTGTGTGTGTGTGTGTGGAAAGTCAGAGTCAAACTTACTACTCTTACAAATAGTTCTAAATTTGCATAAGCATCACAAAAACTAGTTACTGAGACTCCACACACACACACACACACACACACACACACACACACACACACACACACACACACAGGATCCGATTGTGGGTTAACTTGTTCTTCCTTTTATGCAATGTGTGTCACAGTGTTTTTGTTTTTAATATGTACGATGTTTCCTTGTTTCAGTTTTAGGTAACTGAAAAAACTAAGTACTTGTAAGAGTTCCTGATATCGCTTAGTATTAGAATGTCTGTTAGTGTACCTAAGTCTGTAAATTGTTCCTGTACCTGTATTTAAATCTGTACCTGTACCTGTACTTGATAGTTGTCTCCAGTATGAGGTAAGAGGAAGAATGACGACAGAGAGAAGGATTTTCGTTCATTCATCACAAGAACAATGCTTCCCTGATCTCAAAATTTCACTTGTTAGATTTTTTTCTCTCTTGGGGAATTTGTGTCTAATGTCCGAATCTTAAGTTACCGTACAGTGTTGATAGTCAAGATGGAATTCAACACCTTACCGAGACCTTACCGAGACCTTACCGAGACCTCACCGAGACCTTACCGAGAACCTACTGTTTTCTCGTTACAACATCTCTTTACTTACAACTAAAAATACGCTAAATGGCAGCAGTAACTTTATGAAAATATATGTTTATGAGTCATTTTAAAACTCACAAACATGACATCCAATTAACTGAAATCAACTGTTGTATACTAAGCAGAAAGTTGACTTACGCTTGTCGACAGTCATTTGCGGAAAACTTACGGACATTGTAGCATTGGAACTTGGTGAAATAACTCATGGTCAAGACAGCCAGGAAATGCAGAAGGACTTATTATAAAACACCTGTAGCCTTCATCTGTTTTATTGGGTAAAAATTTACTAGGGGAACACCATATAAACTTGAAAGCCTACAGAAGAACGCGGGGTGATTTCGAGATAGACACACACACACACACACACACACACACACACACACACACTAAGTTATTTTGATTCTGGTACTCCCAGCTGAAGGTTAAATAGGCCCTGGTTTTAATAGGTACCAGTTTTAATGGGCTCTTTCTCTAATAGTTCCCAATTCCAAAAAGACTCACAACTTAATCAAACTTTACCATTTACATGAGGACCCATTAGATCTACAACCCATTAGGACCGGGATACGTTAATACATGAACCCAGCATCCCCCCCTACCCCCTACCCAATAGTAATAATCAGCCTGGAGTCTATTAGGACAGACCATGGGGGCCCATTTAATCAAACAGCTGGTACTTAACACCAATCACTGACTACAACATCACGCAAAGTTACACAAAGGATTAAGATCTATATTGAGTGCCACCCCCGGAGGCTTTCTGCTGACGGGCGAACTCGATCTGGGCGATGGCGTGGGCGGGGAGAGGATGGGGCGTAGGTAACAGGTCAGACTCCACGCGGTAACCAAACTCATCGGCTACGAAGGTGAAGACTGCAGGTGTTCCGTCAGGTAAGGTGAACCTGTTTGGGTAGTGAAGGTGATGATTGCTGGAAGATGACGCGATTGCTGGAAGATGGCATAATTGCTGGAAGATGACGTGATTGCTGGAAGATGACATGATTGCTGGAAGATGACATGATTGCTGGAAGATGACGTGATTGCTGGAAGATGGCATTATTGCTGGAAGATGACGTGATTGCTGGAAGATGACATGATTGCTGGAAGATGACGTGATTGCTGGAAGATGACGTGATTGCTGGAAGATGGCATTATTGCTGGAAGATGACGTGATTGCTGGAAGATGACGTGATTGCTGGAAGATGACATGATTGCTGGAAGATGACGTGATTGCTGGAAGATGACATGATTGCTGGAAAATGACGTGATTGCTGGAAGATGGCATTATTGCTGGAAGATGACGTGATTACTGAAAGATGACGTGATTGCTGGAAGATGACATGATTGCTGGAAGATGACGTGATTGCTGGAAGATGACGTGATTGCTGGAAGATGACGTGATTGCTGGATAATGACGTGAGCACTGAAAGATAACTCGAATACTGGAAGCAAACATGAGTATTAGATTCTTTAAGATAACATCACACCTGGAAGATAACATAAACACTGTAATGCCAACAAGAGTCTTCCATAATTAAAATAATAACAATATTAATAATACTTTACATAACATTTCTAACAACAATGAAAAGACTTATAAAATTTCCTTATCCACCAAAAAGTATAAATTTACTATAAGTCCTGTGAAGATTCGTCCATACACGGTCTACCTACATAACCTATCTCAATTCGCCTTTGTGTTTTTATTACTTTACAATTGCCACTTGGTTGAGTTCCTTGAAGACTGTAGTTCATGCTGGTGTGTGGTTCTTATTTGTGTGTGGGGGGGGGATGTGTAGGGTGGTGTGAGATTGACCTGAAATTTGTAATAGAAATTATCTGAAACTAAAACTAAAATCTACAACGAAGTTAGTAACGAAGGTAATACTGAAGATAATAACGAAAAGAACAACGAAGACATTAACGAAGATGAGGACAAAGTGTGACCTCTAAGGAATGTAACACAAAGACAGGAGTGAATGATAAGATGAGACTAACCCAAGATTTGCATTCTGTGTGAGAGAAAGTGAACAGGCAGAAAACAGGACGAGGAGAGACAAACAACTAAGGTGTAGGCTATCACTGTCTCAGGGCGGGACAGCCTCTCGCACCCCTACTGAACCTGACACGCCATCTTCTAACACCCGACCACTAAAACATTTATGAAAATACTGAAGCACCTAAGCTGATAGGTATACATATAGGAATGGCCGGGATGAAGGATAAAGGTGGAAAGATAACATAATGGAGGCTATGGGATACTTACGACCATCCTCCTTGCGAGGCCACGGCGCCAGTCTCCCCCTGGGGGGCGCCCTGCTCGTAGCGACTGATGCCGTTACCAGTCTCGAAGTTGAAGCTGTATGAACCATCTGGGTGAGGTCCATCTCGCTCGTCAACCAGGATGGGAATCACGTCTCCTGAGGGCACGGGTGGAGGTGCTGGTGGTCGCCTTGGTGGGTCTAGGAATGGTCGTTGGCTTTCAGCAGGGCCGAAACCAGCTGGAGCAGTGAATGGCGGAGGAACACCAGGCTGTCCTTTTGGCGGGAAGGGAACCTGACTTGCTCCAGCTCCTGAACCAGCAGGAGCAGTGAATGGCGGAGGAGCACCAGGCTTTCTTTTTGGCGGGAAGGGAACCTGACTAGCTCCACCTCCGAAACCAGCAGGAGCAGAATCTGGCTTAGGAAATTGGCCACTCACAACCGCAGCCACGGCGACCAATAACAGTGTCTGGAAAACATTATCATAATAAACATTAAAACATTACATTTGTTTACTAATTTATATTTTAATGTCGTGTATGGGAGATCAGTATATTATAGTTTTAAATATTGTAAGTGAGGAACGAGAGATATTCAATTACCATGACTTGATTTATATAAGTTCCAGGTATTAGACAAATGGGAAAGTTCTGTTTTAATAACTACCTAACCTAACCTCCTTCAACCTCTTACCCTCATAGAAAACCTATCCCTTAACCTTTCACTTCATAGAAAACGTATCCCTCAACCTCTCACCATCATAGAAAACGTATCCCTTAACCTTTCACTTCATAGAAAACGTATCCCTCAACCTCTCACCATCATAGAAAACGTATCCCTTAAACTTTATCCTAATGGGAAGACTATTTCATTCCTAGTAGAAAGACAGTGAGTCACATAACAGGTATTGGTGAAAGTGAGACAACCATAATACTCTCCAGGCGTCTGTTTGTGTCGGATTACGTCCTCGGTAGATTTTCAAGAACTAAACAATGATGGTACATTTTTCTCCCATAAACACAACCATGATCTATCACACATGAATAGATAGATAGATGTCTTTAAAACACTGTCTATGTGTAAACTTATGATAATTATTTACGGTTTTTGTACAAGATTGGATTTGTGTCGTCTATGTAAGTAATTATGAAACTTTAATACTTAGAGGAACACTTAACACTTATTTTACTTGCTCGTAGATATATACCAAGTTTAGATAAGTAATTTTACTGGTACGTGAAGTGTTTAGGAATATCTTCACTTTAAGATGTAAATATTAAACGAATTTGTACATAATTATAAATACAAAATTAAACTTTTTCATCTTCATAAACAACAATTAACACATGACACTAATAATTCACTGTATACACAAGGAATTATTACGAACAACAACAAAACACACACACACACACACACACACACACACACACACACACACACACACACACACACCCAGTGATAACGGCCCGTGAGACCCAACAACAACCAGCGATGTGTTAATCAGTCTACGATAGGAAGGCCTGGGACCACACCTCACTCATATAACACCATCTGTGAGGGAATTACTACACCACGTGAGGCCCCGCATAACACCATCTGTGAGGTAATTACTACACCACGTGAGATCCCTCATAACACCATCTGTGAGGGAATTACTACACCACGTCAGTTCCCTCATAACACCATCTGAGAGAACTACTACACCACGTGAGGTCCCTCCTAACACTATCTGGGCGAGAGTTACTGCACTACGTGTTTGCTGTTCAACACCTACAATAATCTATATGTTCACTGTATATGTTCCTTCACCTTTCTCTAATGAAGGCTTCTGTTAAACCACCAATGTATGTAATAAGTAATTTATGTCCAGTGTATATTTTCAGCCTTCGGGCTGCAAAACTTTTTCAATAAACCGTTAATTATTATTATTATTATTATTATTACACACACACACACACACACACACACACACACACACACACACACCCACACACACACCTTTCACCTAAAATACAGATAAGAACCAAGAGGTCTACTACAGAAGGGAAAAACAGAAGAGGAAGACAGCGAGCTCCTTGGGGGACAACACCAGAGAGAGAGAGAGAGAGAGAGAGAAGCAGCAGCCGTCTTACCCTAAGGATCATTGCAGTGTAGCGAGGCGGGGAGGAGTGTGTAGACAAGGGCAAACCTCCCTGCGTTATATACCTGGCTGGCTGAACGCCTCTCACACTAACCAAGGTGAAGGATGCCTACTTTCTTCACCGAATAGGAAGAAGAAGGAGATGAGGCAACGATCTGTCAACAAAAACATGTCTCGTAGCCAGGAGAACGTTTCAGAGAGCCAAAATTTTAATCCTTGTGTAGGTCGTCTGTGGTTCTGGTGGGAAAATGATTCGTGTCAGGTGTGTGTGTTTGTGTGTGTGTATACGTTGCTAGTTATGTTAGGAAGCAACAGGGATAAGAGTCAATATTGATTCTTGTATATAAGGTAATGTTAAGTACACATAAACATTTGATTCTCCCATACGCAGACGGGTTTACAATGTGACAGAATATTCAGAATAAAAAGGTCAAACGAGAATCGATACCACAGGACATATATTAGTGGGTCTCCTTAACACTACTGTACGTATCAGTATAACCACCTATCCAGTACCATGTTTTACAATGTTTGCCGCTTCTATCGTCATAAATAATTAAATATATGTTATGATGAGTTCTAAATATATTGATATATACTTGACCTATTTATGCTTAACCTCTTTCTAGCACAAATTCCCCACAAAGTAAAGAATTAGGGCAGATGTAGACTGGATTTGAGAGTACAGGTAAGAGTACAGGTGAGGGTACAGGTGAGGGTACGGGTGAGGGTACAGGTGAGGGTACAGGTGAGGGTACGGGTGAGGGTACAGGTGAGAGTACGGGTGAGGGTACGGGTGAGGGTATGAGTGAGAGTACACGTGAGGGTACAGTTAAGGGTATGAGTGAGAGTACAGGTGAGGGTACAGGTGAGGGTACGGGTGAGGGTACAGGTGAGGGTATGGGTGAGGGTACGGGTGAGGGTATGAGTGAGAGTACACGTGAGGGTACAGTTAAGGGTATGAGTGAGAGTACGGGTGAGAGTACAGGTGACGAACAAGACAATAGCGAAGTCGAGGTATGTGTACTCAATTCTCCTTTTCTGGGAAAACCTGTCACGTACAAACCTTCGCTATAAACCAAAGTAAAACCATGAAAATAAACACACACACACACACACACACACACACACACACACACACACACACACACACACACATTTATTCAACTATTTTACGTTTTCATCGAGAGTATTATTCACTCTCTCTCTCTCTCTCTCTCTCTCTCTCTCTCTCTCTCTCTCTCTCTTACCTAAAAAGACAAATAAAACAACATCCTATTCCTCTTCATTAAAACTATCTCTACCTTCAATTATACAGGTGTAACCAGGTGTGTCAAATTTACCTGTGTGTGTGTGTGTGTGCGTGTGTTAATAGAAGATTGAACAAGCCTTAATATCAGTCTGATTAAATAAGCTTGAGTTTAAAGTCTGATTGAATAAGCTTGAGTTTAAGTCTGATTGAATAAGCTTGAGTTTAAGTCTGATTGAATAAGCTTGAGTTTAAGTCTGATTGAATAAGCTTGAGTTTAAGTCTGATTTAGTAATTTTCAATGATTTTAAGTCTTTTTTTATTTAGAAGTCTTAATATAGGTCCAGGAATCCTGTCGTCAAGTAGTGAGAATGTCAGTAGCCTTTGTGTGTGTGTGTGTGTGTGTGTGTGTGTTTGATTTTTTAGTAGACAGGTGTGGTTAATCGTTCACCTACACACCTGTGGTTGTGTGTATATAGTTTATGAACATATGCCAACACACACACACACACACACACACACACACACCAAAGTAAAAAAAAAACACATTAAAACATCTCATTAACATTTCTCAAAACAAAACAAACACATTTCTCTCATCACCAGAACACAACAGGTAATATACAGGTCATTAACACAGGTAAGTCCCTAAATAATTACTTTGTGATAAGTGAATGATAGAAAGAGACACTGATCGCTATTTTGTGGAACTTGTATGACACAGAGGCACTAAATGAAAAGAAAAACATTGGATTTTTTTGTGTGTGTGGTTTAGAATTAATGTTTATGTATTAAGTTTGGATCGTTTTATTTATATATTTGTGAAAGTATGTATGTATGTATGTATGTATGTATGTAAGTATGTATGTATGTATGTATGTATGTATGTATGTATGTGAATGTATGTATGTATGTATGTAGGCAGGTAGGTAGGTATATATTTGTGAATGTATGTATGTATGTATGTATGTATGTATGTAGGCAGGTAGGTAGGTATATATGGTGGTCATTTATTTTATAGTGAGAAAATTAACATCACAAAGAATCATATAATATTAATCTATCCTAATCCTAACCAATCCTATCCCATTCCTACCTCTAATCTACCCTATCACCCTTACTCCCATCTCACCCCACCCTCATTCATCATTCAAACCCTACTTTTTGTTGTTACACTCAGTAAATGTTTCCCAGCAACCAGACAGACAGACAGACAGACAGACAGACAGACAGACAGACAGACAGACAGACAGACAGACGAAGAATAAAGAAGACGATGATCATCTAATGAGCTGACCCAGGTAGATACATAAATATTATGACCCCATTCTTCCTTAGTGAGGCGGGCCAGGAAGGTGTTGGTGAGGAGGAGAAGGGTAGGGAGGACAAGGAGGACAAGGAGAATGGAGGAGAAGAAACAGGAATTGGGGTAGTAGTAGTAGGAGGAGGAGGAGGAGGAGGAGGGAGAGAAGGAGGGGAGGAGAAGAAGGAGAGAGGGGGGGGAAGAAGAGGAGGTGTTTGAATATAATATGCTGGGACTATCTCTCTGTACGTCACTGTGTTAACTTTGTCTACGTGAGGTGCATTGAGAAGAAGAAGGGAGGAGAGGAGGAGGGAGGAAGAAGAAGAGGAGGAGAGAAGAAGAGGAGGAAGGAGAGAGGAGGAGAGAAGAAGGAGGAGGAAGGAGAGAGGAAGAAGAAGAGGAGGAGGAAGACGAAGAGGAGGAGGAAGAAGAAGAGGAGGAAGAGGAGAGAGGAGGAAGAGGAACAAGAACAGAGTACTTGATGGTTTCTGCACTTCTACTCACGTACGTTCCTTAACTACGTAGATACAATGAGAAGAAGAAGGAGAGAAGGAGAAGAAGAAGGAGGAGAGAAAGAAAGAAGACGACAACAACAACAACCAGCCAATATAGGCTATATATGCCAGTTTATCACACACACACACACACACACACACACACACACCTGTGATTGGTCTAAAAACATAACTCATTCCCCAATCACTTCATCAAGGTATGCACACTGAGCCTCTCTCTCTCTCTTAATTACAGGTGTTGTTAGGTCTGATTTATAAAACATACAGGTAAAGAAAACACCTTGATGATACTGTCAATACCTGGGAATTACTGTACCTGTACTTTATACCTGAATCTGTCATTACCTGGGAATTATTGTACCTGTAATATGATATTCCTAACTCTGTTAAACGATACTACTGTCTTATATTCTTCCCGTATCGCGTCACGTGAAGATTAGGTTCTCCAGCTTATTCATTTTTAACCTAACCTAACCTAACCTAACCTAACCTGTCCTGACATTTCCGAATCAGCCTTGACCCAATACCAATGTTGACACTTTTAAATAAATAAATAACAACATTTTAATAATTTCAAAACAAACGAAACTTTCACTTTCCGTAAGAATCGAGTCTTTGTGTTTCTTCCAATAGTCGGAGTTCCTCTATTTTCGGCCTTGACCTCTTGACCTCTTGACCTCTGGGAAACAACATCTTCACCTGAGTAGCTGCGTGTGACCTCTCCATCTCCCTGGTCCGCAACACCTCTCCCTAATCCCACCCTCCCTAGCCCCCCACCTCTTATTTCTCCCTCCTCCCCCTTTCTGACATGACCTAACCTCTGGGAGGAACATCGAAGGAGAAAAGGGAGAGGGGAGGAGGAGGAGGAGGGGATAACTGGTTGAGGCACTAACAGGTCAACTCCTCCTCCTCCTCTTCTTTTATGACGCCAGTTTGGTCTTGCTCACACTTAACCTATTATAAATTGTGGTTCACCGTTCGTTTGTTCTTCTTTTGGGATTATCTGTGTGTGTGTGTGGTGGTGTGTGTGTGTGTGTGTGTGTGTGTGTGTGTGTGTGTATCTCTTCCTCTTTATCTTTGCTTATATATCTCTCTTTCCCTTGTTTAACTTTTTGTTCGTAACTCTCTTACAACATGACACAACCCAACTTAGAAACCATATCACCGAACATAAACAAAGACGATATTCTCACATGGACCAAGACCTCCCCTCCTCCTCCTCCTCCCTCGTAAGGATAAAATTCAGTGGCACGAAAATCCAATTGAGTTTAGACAATTTATTTTATTTACTCGTAATTTTGTAGTTTTTAAATAATTTTAAAATCATTAAATAACTTTTTATGGGAATTATTTACGTTTGTTAACTGTTAATGCAAATAAATGTATCCTGTAAATTTTTGTTTCAGGTTTAATCTACGTTGGCAATTTTGGTATGTTAAGAAGGGTGTGGGTGGTGTTGGATAGTATTTGTGATAGTATTTGTGGGTAGTATGTGTTAACTATCTCAATTTAGCTTTTCAGCTGGCTTTAATTAACTCAGTGTCCGCCTCTCATGATCTGACTGGTGGATGTTTCGCTCATCGCCTGAGGGATATTTATTTTCTTCTGTTTTCAATACCAGAATAAACATGAATAAACACACACACACACACACACACACACACACACACACACACACACAACATGGCGACGCCCCTTCCATACTGTATTTTCATTCGCTTCCTGGTTCATTTTTTCCACCTAGGATGAACAAGGACATAGGATCAGAGGGAAGGTTATTCGGGTCTTGATAGGATGAACGTCGTCATATAATCAATACAGTAGACACGAAATATGAAAATATCTCTTTCTCTCGTCTCCTATTTTTATCTCCTGAGACCTTCTGCTAGTTGCCAGGACAAAAACACCAAGTACATCTCTCGTCTCCTATTTGTAGTTGCTAGTAAGGGGTTTGGTTTCTACTAGTCGTGGTTGGTTTCGGAAATTTAGGTAAGTTCTCAATTTCGTGTCTATTTTGAT